ATTTCTCCGATCACAAATGCAGCCATGGTTTTATGTTTACGCGGCGCGATGCAATGCAACGCAACGCAACGCGTAAAAAGACAGTATAAGTCATTATAATCAGTACTTATGTCCCCACTGGATGCAACAAATGCCTCGTTTGTAATGGGTTTTAATGTTTTTGCCTCGTCGCTCCGGCCGGGACACGGCATCACAATATGTTAAGGGGCGTAACATTTCTGTCACATGCTTGAGGTATTCGGCCAATCACAACACACTGTAGATCTGGCCAATCAAGCACACCTCGCTTTTTCAGACCGATGAGCTTTGTAAAAATCGACGCGTTTCAGAAAGGCGGGGCATAGAGGGGAAACAATAATGTACAGTATGTGGAAAATAATGTGTTTTTTTAACCTTAAACCGCATAAACACATTCCATTACACCAAATACACAAAATAATGTTCTTTTTAGCAGCATCATATGACCCCTTTAAGAAACTAGCTTTACAAGCATAAAAATATCCATGCCCTTTGTTCCACTTTATAGATGTTGAAGGTTTGCATTGAAAGCAATGGGCTTTACTGGCCGCATCAGTAAATAGCAGGTTTTGAGAAAAACGAGTTTAATTCAAAGGTCTGTACCTACCTGCTGCTGCTGTTGTTGTTTCAGGTGTTGTTGTAATTTCTATTAAAGAAAAAGAGCATAAAATTACAACAAGCTTCTGTAAAATTCATAAGAAAGAAATTAAATCCAAAAATGCTCCATAGCCGTATGATTATTCTTTTATCACTCGCAGCTTTATTACCTGGCGTGACTGATGTAGTTGCCAATGTAGTGGTTTCTGGAAGAATGAACACAAATACAAACGCCATTAAATACCTTATGAACTCACTTGATGAGTGCAAAAAAAATTCCTATAGACGATGCTCACTGATTTCTTAGGTTCATAATGGGAGAAGTTTTTTAAAAACAGATTTGGTTCTAATTCAAAGGTCTATAAGTACCTGCCAATGTTGTTGTTGTTGGTACAGGTGTTGTTGTAGTTTCTATTAAAGAAAAGAGCAGAAAATTATAACAAACTAAAGTAAACTACATAAGAAAAAATGAAAACAAAAAATGTTGCAAAGCCGTTTGATACTTTTTAAAATTATTTGCAGTTTTATTACCTGGTGTGACTGATGTGGTTTCTGTACTGGTTTCTGGAAGAATGAACACAAATACAAACACCATAGAATACCTCATGAACTCAGTGTGGTTTTCTTTCCTGGTAATTTCTCAGGGGGGACTTTTTTTCTTTTTTTTTTAACAGATCTGGTTCTAATTCAAAGGTCTACAAGTACCTGCCAATGTTGTTGTTGTAATGCATGTTTAAGAAAAACATTATTACATTTTATACACAGCTCTCTGGAATAGTTGATTCTGATTGGTCAGTTATGACATTCCAAGGTCTGTTATTCCCCGATGACAATCTTGTTGCCAGAATGATTGTTTTGTATGCTGTAATGGATTTAATATACTAAACTGGTAAGATTTTAAAATGCATTTCTTCTAAAATAACATTTTATGTCCTTTAATGTGGTGAAAAGCTGTGTAATTAGTGATACGATGTCCATCTTGTCTGAACTTCGTCTAAGCTTAAAGCCATTAGGAACTGTTATTCTTTGAGGAAAGTAAGTACCTTCTGTTGATAATGTTATTGGTGCAGATGTTGTTTGTGCTCTGGCTGTTAAAGAGAAAGAGAGATTATTAAATTCAGAAACACACATTTGTTTGTCACACGTTTTATTGTCTTTTAAATAAAACCGATAACAAAACCTTACTCAGTGACAGGACTGATATGAACACCAGCAGATGCTGTGAAACCAGAAACAATCTCATGATGAAGTCAGAGATAAAACCGCAATGTTGAGGTCCTTCTTCTGTAATCAGAAAGAGCTTTATTCTCACTAAACCGAAGGTAATCTGGAATATCGGAAATAATAATAACTTATTAGAAATGAGATATTTCCAGCTTTGAAATTTGACTGTAGGACCTGCTTTCAAAGCTGTTGAAAAAAACAGCCAATATTCAAAAGATCCCACTTTATATTGGGCATCTTTAAATGCAAATGAATTCATGACTAATTAATTAATCTTATGGATTTAGTCCATGTAAATTTGATTTTAGAAGAAAACATTTTCTTGTAAAATACTGTGTAAATACTATGCATTTTCCTGGAAATACATAGTATGTTTTACAAGAAAATACTATTTCAGTCTTTCAAATTTCATGTTTAATTCAGTGTGTTACTTGCCATTTCTTTATAATTATTTGTGTAATTTATTATCAATTTCTGAGTGAAAACTGTTTCAAAGTCAATTTTTTTAAGTGTGTCAAATCAGACCTTACCTGATCGGTCTTCTATAACAAATAATTTTGCAAAACATGTACACAATAAGCAGATTTATCAAAGATTTTACATTACATGTTATAATTTTATAAATACAAATGCAAAGTAGATCAAGACACCTAATATAAAGTGACTGAAATCCATATTAAAGCCTAATTACACCTATATAACGTGGAAGAACTATTTAATTCTGAATATTATTCATGTATAAAGGTAAATATTTTGTGAACACTGATATCTTCTATCATATTGCTTCTATCATCTTCTATCGTATTGTTTTATAAAATCATAAACATGATAAGCAACTTAATTGGCTTATTGCTTTATTTTTGCTTTTTTCTCAACTTTTAACATTTATAGCAAAATATACCCATTATGTAATGTTTAAGTTTCATAATCCATTACACATGTAAGGATAAACTGAAAGAGCATATAGCTTAGTAATATTAAATAGAAAGATTTGACTTACCTCATACAGCTTCTTCTGAGCTGCTCTTGTACCTGCTGTGAGTTAGCAGGAAGTTTCATCGGTTATTAAGCACGTCCTGGCACTGTTCACAAGGAAACATCTCCTGGAATGGAAGAAAAAAAATGTTTTGTTGGAATACTGCCAGTATTCTTAAAAAAAAAAAAAAAAACTCACCTTGATGAATCTTTCCTTCAAATATAATCTCACATTAAAAATAGAAATACTTTATATTGGCCTGTATATCCTTCACTTACTCGATTTACTAAAAAATAAGTATCAAAAACTATTATGCCCCATAATGCAGCAACATACTGTATTAAAATATGCCATTACCCTGTACAATTCCTGTGAGTTTTTTAGGCTTTACACATTATAAAACCTGAGAATGACTGAACACACATTCCTTGAGGGAATTCAGAAAGCACACAATGTGTTTTTTTTTTTTTTTTTTTTTACAAAATACTAGTAAACACTTGGGGCTTCTAATACTGCTGAGGGACTAACTGGTAATTTGACATCTTTCCCTCTTCTGACTGCCATAATTCTATATTTTTTCACCACTTTTAAATGTTTTGGAAATGACTACATTCAGAATGTAAGGAATATACAGAATGTGGATCACACAGAATAAATATCAGCTGACACATGAACAGGTGAGAAACCAGAATTGATACTTTGTGTTCAGAACACTTTAGTACTGATACAGAAAATGAAGATGATAATATCAATTATCAATATCAGTCGTTGCAGGATCTATTTTCTGTCAATCATGGCACGCACTTTAGAAAGGTCCTAGATCCCGTTACTGTTTTATTAAGTAACTTAAAAACAGCATTCAAAATAGAATCGATTTTACTTTCACAATGAGAAAGTTATTAGACTTCAACAAACGATTTAGAAAACATCACTATATAAACCTGTTGTTTATTCATTATTTATGCCTTACAATATTATTTTAATCCACTTATTAAGCCACATATTAAGATGCCTATGATAAAACACTTGTTAAGTACATAAAACATTGCACAGGTGTCTTCCATTAGTCACAGCATGGCTATCTGGTAGGACTGTGGTGGTTTCTGAAAGATTGAACACAAATACAAACAGCATTAAATACCTGATCAACTGACAAGTGCAGTTTTCTTTCCTGATGAAGATGCTCACTTTTTTCTCAGGTTCATGTCAGGTTTGCTCCACTGATATAGGTGGCATTTTTAGTTTGTGCAGATGTTGGAAAACTGGAGACAATCTCATGATGATCAAGTCAGAGATAAAACCACAGTGTAGAAGTCCTCCTTCTGTAATCACAGACATTGTACTTATTGTTCTCACTGCAAATGTAAAGTCCAGACTCAGAGCCACCTGGCTGCAGTCACCATGTCCTCTAACTTCATAAAGAGCACTATTTCCCAGTAAATTCTTTTTTATTACATTTTCAATCTGTTTAAATTCATTATTTTAGCAGTGTGCCAGCAAGTATGATTAAAGTTCGACTTTCAAAATCCAGTCAATTTCAATAGAAATTCCATGCAACCGGGAATTTTGCATTTTATATATATTCGCATAAAATTCAAGGCATTAATGTTTGCCTACTAAACCACCACTGGCTCTGCACCCATTTACCTAAATTCATTATTTCAGAGTGATGTGCCCTCTAGAAGCTTGCGACACCTCTGTTCATCAATTTGCACTGGCTACCAGTAGCTGCTCGCATTAAATTCAAGGCATTAATGTTTGCCTACTAAACCACCACTGGCTCTGCACCCATTTACCTAAATTCATTATTTCAGAGTGATGTGCCCTCTAGAAGCTTGCGTTCTGTAAGTGAACTGTTCCCTCCTGGTGGAATGACCTGCCCAAATCAATCCGAGCAGCTGAGTCCTTAACCATCTTCAAGAAACGACTAAAAACACATCTGTTCTACCTTTATTTGACCCTCTAACTCTAACACTTTCTATTCATATATATATATATATATATATATATATATACACACCTTGCTACGTGTACTGCGTTAGGCTAACCGAGACTTGTCATTTGCACTTATATATTGTTGCTCTTTTGTCCATTTTGATTGCTTCTATTGTCCTCATTTGTATGTCACTTTGGATAAAAGCGTCTGCTAAATGACTAAATAAATCAAATGTGTGTAAGAGTTATGAGTCTGTACTGTACCTGTTGGAATGGTAACAAATAGTATGTGCCTTATAATCATTATCTACTAATAAATAAACTGCATATCTACCCAACTTTATTTCAGACTACACACCCAAACCCTCTTGCATAATATCCAACTAATAATTAAAATCCATTGGTTATAACGGAGCTTGTCTAACTGGAGTTTTTCCTTTGTAATAGCAAATCTTATGAGAATTTTGCAAAACAGCATATACACATTGAATAGATTTGTCAAATGTTTTAGCAGTGCTAAACGAAACATCAGGAGCCCTTCCTGGGCTGGACTGGGGATCAGGAGCCCTTCCTAGGCTAAACGAAACATCAGGAGCCCTTATATAGCCCTAAATATAATTAATAAATATATTTATTGGTGTCTTATCATAATGCTGTTTTACAAAATAATGAAAGCATTAAGCTACTTGATTGGCTTTATTAGCCTCTGTTTTCTCAATTTTATCCTTTAAAAAATAGCAAAATATAGTCAGTTATGTTTTAAGTCCAAACCATTACACAAGAAAGGATATATTTTCTAAACATATGAGTGTAACATTCAAGATAAAGATATGCCTTTCCCTCAGACAGCTTATTGTAACTCATGTGGTTTAGCAGGAAGTTAACCTTGATTTAAAATGTTTAACATCTCCTGGAATGGAAGAAAATATGTTATCATTGGAACACTGTCAAAAAATGTAAACGAATGGTCTTTCACTACAGATATCTTACAGATATCTAATCTTACAATTAGATTAATAGCACTGTAAACCTGTACACACACACACACACACACACACATATATATATATATATTGAATAATGTATATAAATAACTACTATAGGACTCACTAATAAAAAACTACCAAAAAAGTACTATGGTGCAAGATTCAGTACCATATCTCAAAATATTACCATTATTACCTATTATCATGATACTACAGCACTCTTTACTGCGGGTTTTTACAAATGAGTCTGAACACACATTCCTTGAGGGATTTCAGCAATGGCAATGTAATACTGTTTATTAGCACAGCTATTTATTAGCACAATATTATAATTACTGTACATGTATTTAATGCCCCAGTTACTGTTACTGTCCTAGAGCTACAATGGACTCTTTTCACACACAATAATGAAGCACTTCTGCAACAATTACAGCAACGTAAATTTGGCAAATTTTCATTACACTGTTGTGTTATATTACCATGGTATTAAATCCCCCCCCCCTGAAAAAAACACTGTGTAATGAGTTACAGCTGCTGAGGGAGTGACTGTAAACTTAATATATATTTTTATCTTCTGACTGTCATAATCCACCATTTGTTTTCCCTCTTGAAAGCTGTGTAAACCTAATAGTGGGGTTTTTCTTTTGCTGTTGGGGGTAATGGGAATGCAAAAATTATATAGGCCTATGCAAATAATGTCCTGAATGAGAATCACAAATAATAATAATTTTTCAAAAATCCAGCTGACAAACCATAAATTATACTTTGTGTTCACACACTTTAGTACTTACAGAAACTTCTTAACACTTATTAAAATTCATTATTAGTTAAACGATTTGTGAGTCAGAGTGACTGAACAATCTCAGTATCAGTCACTGTATGATTATATATCAGATGAGATGTCACTAAATGCTAAATAAACAACACAATAATGTGTCTCTATTGTGACAGACTTTATCGCCACCTTCTGTTCAAGTGAATGAAATGAAATTTAGACTAGAGTTTCTAGACGCAGAAAGCAGTGTAGCCTAAAGATTTTAGTAGGGAAATACAGATATTCAATAGTTTAACCATCACTTTAGGTCTAGAAAATGACAAACGTATGACACTAACTACATGAACAGTGGATTTAGTCAATGGTAATATTATTAATGTCTGATTACTAAGGTTTCCAGAGAAAATGTTGAGTTTATCACTGTGAAATGAAATCAATAAAATAAACCAAACATCCCAAAACCATAGCAACCATTAATACGACCCAAAAACTAAAACATTGTCGTGAGTAATAAATGCAACATAAAACTATTTTGTGAGCTAAATATGGCATTAAATTCCACTGTATTTTCACAATAAGCATGTTAATACATATCAATGAAAGATTATGACAACATTATTGTGTTGTAAAATGTTGAGCTTACCAAACTATTTCACAAGCTGTGTCCAAAATTTAGTTTTGTGTGTCCAAAAACAGAATCCATTCGTCTTATTACAAGTCAGTGCACCATCGGAATGATTTTGAAACTAATATTAAAGGGTAAAATCATATACATTGTTGTTTTAAAGCATTAGTATCTCACTCACCATCATCAAGCTGCTGTCTCCCTCTAGAGGTGAGTAAAGGAAAAGACAATTACCCCTCAACCACAGGCACCAACAAACTAAAATAAGCTCTTTTCCCATTGACAGTTTAATATCAAATACACTGTATATGTCAGTATTTAAATATTTTTGTGTGCTCCTTTTTTAAAACAATTTTTCTTTTTGCCAATCCAAATGAAGCAAGCTTGTTTTTTTACTTGCTAAAGTGTGCATTAAACAGAGAAAAGCAGAGACCATCAAGACCGTTCAAAGTTTAAAAGGCAAAACACATACAGTATTTTACAACTTGGTTCAGTATGTGTCTTCTAATATAAGTTATGTTTTAGTAAATGAACTTGTAGACTTCAATTTCTTAAGTTTGAAGAGTTTTAAACCCCTAAAGCAATTAAAAAGATCTGATAATAATGATGTGACAAAGAAAAAGACTGATGAATCAGTTTTTTTCATCGTATATGCTCAATTATATTTGTATGTAGTTGACTTTATGTGTGTGAGAAACAGAAAGCAAGTAGAAGAGTGAGACATTATACAAGTTCCTTTTCCTGTGCAGTGACATTCCTCTCCTTATCAGTTTTTTCTTCTTGAAAATAGCAGTGGCATTCATCATCATAGACTTAATGATCCAGTCTCTGCTTTCATTTCCCTCCGTGGATGAGGCTGATGTTACGGCTGTGTCTTTTTAACCTGTAATATGAGAAATCAATTCAAATCCAGCAAACAATTATAATCTGGCTTTTCGCAACATTTGACAATGGAACTGAATTCTCACATATTTCTGGTTGTATGTTCAGCCAAAGAACTTAAATGGAGTTGAAAGACCAACAGAATATTAGTTTTCACTACCAGTTTCAAGACACTTGGTGTCTCCTGCTGCTGAGCCGAATAGATAGAATATCACTGGTGCTGCCGAGAGAATCAACACAAAAAATACAATTGAAAACGTGAACAGGTTTTACAAGCAATCTCATAATTAAGGGCATACACATAACATTAGCTCAAAGGTCAATGATTACCTCTCCATGGCTCTGCTGCTGTTTGTGCAATGGCAAAAAGAAATATAAATTATAAAACACTTTCTATTGTATATTAAAAAACACACTGCATAGCTGTATGGTGCGTCTTCCCTCACTAGCAGCATTAATACGTGATGTGATTGCAAGTGTGGTGGTGGTTTCAGATTTTACAGATGTCCTACAGAGCTTTATTATTTCCACTGCAAAAATACAGTTAAACTGATCTTAATCTGGAACTTTTGATAAAAAGTTAGTTATTATTATTAATATTACGATTTGGATATTTACAACTATGAATTTGAAAAAGTTAATATTCACTATGAAATCTCAGTTCCATCTTTTACTATGTGCTGACCTTAAAATGTATAACAGTGGATATTGTGGAGCTACATACAGTACATGTGGTTGCTCAGGACAATACTGTATTTACTATTGAAAATATGAATCTTAATTTGTACTCCCATATCTAGGGACTATCTAACCAAAATCCCAAAGGTTCCTTTATTATTCAAATTTTTTCTTTTCTTTAGCATACTTTCATGCACTCTAAAAAATGCTGGGTTGTTTCAACCCAACTTTGGGTCAAATATGGACTAACCCAACAATTGGGTTAAATTTTTACATTCAAATTTTAACCCAAAAGTTGGGTTAGTCCATATTTGACCCAAAGTTGGGTTGAAACAACCCAGCATTTTTTAGAGTGTGTATTCATATGTAGGCCTACAGTATATGCAGTGAATATACATTTTGCTTAGCAAAAATTGAGAATACAATTTATCGAATGTAATATTAAAGAGATTTTACTTACATCTGCATCTTCAACGTCTTGTATCTGATGTGGGTTAAATTGCTATGCAGCAAGTGTGCATTGACTTTTAAATGTGTCCCAGCCGTGTTTCAACAGCAGAGCATCTCCTGGAATAAAAGAAAATATGTTTTCATTGGAACACTGCCAGTAATTATCACAAAAACATTCAAACAATAGGACTTAATATATAATGTTTAGAATTTAGGGTTTAACTGTAAAAGAGTTTATCACAAGCCTTTATTTGTAAACAATTTCAAGGCTCATATCATTTATAATAATTAATGTATTTATGCATTTATTATGAAAACATTTATATTAGTAGACAGTGACTGCATTCACAAATAAAATGAGTATCACACAGACTAATTATAAATCAAGTGACGCATGAACAGATTTCCCTAAAAACCACATTTGCTACTTTAAATAACACTTTAGTACTTTTACCCAGCATTTTTTAGAGTGTGTATTCATATGTAGGCCTACAGTATATGCAGTGAATATACATTTTGCTTAGCAAAAATTGAGAATACAATTTATCGAATGTAATATTAAAGAGATTTTACTTACATCTGCATCTTCAACGTCTTGTATCTGATGTGGGTTAAATTGCTATGCAGCAAGTGTGCATTGACTTTTAAATGTGTCCCAGCCGTGTTTCAACAGCAGAGCATCTCCTGGAATAAAAGAAAATATGTTTTCATTGGAACACTGCCAGTAATTATCACAAAAACATTCAAACAATAGGACTTAATATATAATGTTTAGAATTTAGGGTTTAACTGTAAAAGAGTTTATCACAAGCCTTTATTTGTAAACAATTTCAAGGCTCATATCATTTATAATAATTAATGTATTTATGCATTTATTATGAAAACATTTATATTAGTAGACAGTGACTGCATTCACAAATAAAATGAGTATCACACAGACTAATTATAAATCAAGTGACGCATGAACAGATTTCCCTAAAAACCACATTTGCTACTTTAAATAACACTTTAGTACTTTTACAAAAATGTTGAAAATCTTTCATTAGTTAATTGAATTACTGGTCAGTGAGACTGAATGATTGCAATACAATGACAAGATGTCATAATCTGCTAAATAATTACAAAATATGCCTCTCCACTCCGCTCTGACAGATTCATTTCCACCAGTTCAATGTTCAAGTGGTTTAAAATGAGATTTAATGTTCTGTTAAATTGAATGGAATAAGATCAAGAAAAAAAACTGAAGAAATCAATTGAATGTAACTATTAAATTAACTGGTTTTAAATTCAAAACATGTTTCCAGTTTTTCATTCAAATGTATGTGTCAGTATTTCGTTTGTTTAACCTAACTTCACGCCAATAATTACAAAATCACTTGTTTTTCTATATGAAGATACAGGACTGTTTTATTTCTTTTCCTGAATCAGACTGATATTGCGGCTTTATCCTTTGCACTTTTCTTAATTTCAGCTCAACGCTGTTAGGCAGACCGTACTTGACCAGCTCCTGTTTTATCTGAAACAAAGATGGACAAACAGATCCATCTTTCCCCATGTTGTCTATTAGCACCGCATTTTGTATGAATAATCATGTTTGTGTCTTACTCGCTGTAAAATGATCTGAATGTTTCCAGCATCTGTTAGGTCAGAAAATGAGGAAAGTTTCACTTGAACTCCAATGACGTAGTCTAGAAGCACACAGAATGTTGAATTATTTTTTTTATGGTTTCCAATAACTGCAGCTTTCATCGTCCTAAGCATCATTACTGGGGTCTTGAGAAGGACATGGTCATTTGAGATGTTGATATTGCAGAGTCTACGAACATAAACAAAAAAACCAGGATAGCTTCGCAGATGTTTAACCATCTTGTAAATGAATGCACTCTTTTTCCGTGTCATCTGCACCAGTTTTATTTGTCGGTGAACAGGACTACAGAAAAATGCAGAAGTATGATCTAGTTTTCACAAAAGCCCTGGAGCTGTCAAAGTCTACCAGATGAAGGTTTTACAGCTCCAGGGGTTTTGTCAAAACTAGGGATTGTACTTCCGCATTTTTATTCCCATGCTCACTGACAGCTGGATCAAGTCTAGTGTATTATGTTTTAAAGATTCCCTACCTTTTTGAAAAAATGGAATGCCACAGCCATTTTTTTTTTTTTAACTTTTTACTGCACACACAGACAAGTTTTGTTAATAATCCATCTTGCCAGCAATAAATTACCTCTTTAAGAACATGCCTACATTTCTGATTGAATTTTGATGTTAATTTATTTATTTCAAAGCCTATAATTACTTGTTTGTGGTACTGCAGTTGTTTGTGCCAAGCCTGTTAACAACAAAAGAGAGAGAGAGAGATTATTAAGATCTAAAACACTTGCATCAGGTACAATTTCGTGATCATTTCATATTAAGAATGGTACTAATATCAAGAGCTTACTTGATGACAGGACCGACGTCGTTATTAACAGCAGCAGATGTTCTGAAACTGGAAGGATTCTCATGATGACTAGTTTGAAAAAGTGAAAAAGAGTCCTTCTTCTGTAATGAGAGAGAGATTTATTCCTTAAAGAAAGCAAACTTATGTGTTCTTTTTCATATGGAAAAAATAAACATGAGCTGCGTCCCAAATGACGCACCATACACTATGCACTTATACATTATGTAGGCCTACTTATGCACTATGTACTCAACCATGTAGTGTATGAATTATATAAGGTTATTTTGTCATTCATAAATGGAGTCTGATAATTATACAATTTCAAACATCTCTCTTTTTTTCTTCATTTGATCTACTCTACCTTGTGTAGCTAACCTGGTTTAGGCCTATAGCCTACTTTAAAATTGTCATTGTGTTTGTGTAGCTAGTACAAATATTGGTTTTATGACAATTTGCTTGATATTTGTAAATGTAAACGTATAAACGAGAGTGAGAAATATTTTGATACTTACCTCTGAAAGATTCATCAAGCCTGCTCTTGCAGATTATATTAAAACAATGCAGGAAGTTATTACTGATTTTAAAGGCTTGAACAGCGTCTGTGTCGAAGGGAAGTAGAAGGCTTTCATCCACGGAATGTTGGGTTGGGGCCATAAAGCGTCAACCTGAAACTGCATTCAAACGTAGTTTGCTTTCAATAATTACGTTATCACATTTTAATTAAATATTAAAATACAAAAGCATCACTGACACGTCTTGATCTTACCGAATAATTTCACCGATGTATTTAGATCATTATTTTAGCGGTTCATTTACTTCAGGTCAGTTATCTCGTTATCTCACTCGTTGCTGTCTCCCCCTCGTGGTGAGCAAAGGAACAACCACACGCACTGTTAAGCATTTTCTGCCAGTCTATCAAATGTACTGTATGTCAGTATTTCCGTGCTGTATTTATAAAAAAAAAAGGTAAAACAAACGAAGTAAAATTTTCAACTGGTTAATATTCTAAAGCATATCATGTTGACATAGGGACAGCAACCAGCAACACAACAATACAAAAGAAAATGGTATGCCAAAAAAATACAGGTATTTCCTCATAGCTTTTTTTAGTGTTTTTCTACAGTATAATTACACTGAACAAAATTATAAACGCAACACTTTTGTTTTTGCCCCCATTTTTCATGAGCTGAACTCAAAGATCTAAGACTTTTTCTATGTACATAAAAGGCCTATTTCTCTCAAATATTGTTCACAAATCTGTCTAAATCTGTGTTAGTGAGCACTTCTCCTTTGCCGAGACAATCCATCCACCTCACAGGTGTGGCATATCAAGAAGCTGATTAGACAGCATGATTATTGCACAGGTCCGGTGCACCCAGGATGCGATCTTCCCAGATGTAAAAAAAAAAGGTAAAACAAACGAAGTTAAATTTTCAACTGGTTAATATTCTAAAGCATATCATGTTGACATAGGGACAGCAACCAGCAACACAACAATACAAAAGAAAATGGTATGCCAAAAAAATACAGCTATTTCCTCATAGCTTTTTTTAGTGTTTTTCTACAGTATAATTATGTAGGCTAATGACAATACTACACCTTCACCGGGTGTTTATCTCTTAAAATGAATAAATTTAACCTTTAATATTTTTGTTGTGCAATGTTATATAGACTTTAGTCAGGGTAGCACCATATTTAATTTTGACAGTATGCTAATAAAACAGGCAGTGAAGGACTAAAGTACAGTGTGTTCAATGGATTGTACAGTAGTTTAGCAACAAACTGATTGTTCAGCTCACACAACGTCTTTCCAAAAATAACATTCAGACAAGACCTCCACAAAGCAGTTTTGAAAGTTCTGAGTTGTAAAAACTTTGTGATTTTTCTTTGAGTTCAGCTCATGAAAAATGGGGGCAAAAACAAAAGTGTTGCGTTTATAATTTTGTTCAGTGTATGTAGTGACAATACTACACCTTCACCGGGTGTTTATCTCTTAAAATTAATAAATTTAACCTTTAATATTTTTGTTGTGCAATATTATATAGACTTTAGTCAGGGTAGCACCATATTTAATTTTGACAGTAATAAAACAGGCAGTGAAGGACTGAAGTACAGTGTGTTCAATGGATTGTACAGTTGTTTAGCAACAAACTGATTGTTCAGCTCACAAAACGTCTTTCCAAAAATAACATTCAGGCAAGACCTCCACAAAGCCGTTTTGAAAGTTGTAAAAACTTCGTGATTTTGGACCTTTATGCCTTTAAGCTATTTGGTTTCCTTGCTTCATTTGGCTGCAAGTACTGATAACAAGGAGACAATCGTGGAAGAATACTGTTTTTATTAATATCATTACACTTTATTTGCTCTGTTTTATTCTGTGAAACCTTACTATGTGTATGGAATAACCGGTTTATAAAAGCAATAAGCCCCGTGAAGCCATGGTTTACAGTGAATTTATTACAGCTAAGGGGGTTTTAGGCACTCCGCTTCGAGTCGTGCCTAACAACGCCCCTTAGCTGTTATAAAGTCACTGTAAACCACGCTTCTTGGGGCTTATTGCTTTAGTACACACTTTGTTAATGCTGAAGAATTCTGCATGTTATTAAATGTAATAAATGCAAAGGTCTTTTATCATATTGCTGCTGTCAACATTTTAATAAAATCAATAAGGCCTTGTGTTGCAGTGATTTTTACCGTGGTTCAAGGGTTCCCACGTTGTGCCTTCCTCAGAGTATACACTTCTGCTAACCCTCTGTCAGTACAGCTAGTTTATGGCCAGTTAGTCATCTTTGTATGCCTGATTAAATGGGGGTCCTGAATTACAAAGTCTGTAATATTTAACTTAAATTAATCAATAATGATATGCTGCATTAGTTAAGCATCAACATGGCTACATATTCAACCAATTTGCAATTTTCATTCTTCTTCTTCATTTAAAAGCAGCATGAACAAACGTTGTGATAGTCTTTGCCCGAGCGAAACTGATTCTGGAACAAGAAAAAAAATGTAGGACAAGACTTAATTTGTTTATCCGGAATTGATTGGATGTGGTTTCAATGGCTTGTACTGTTTACTGATTGTTCAGCTCACAAAAAACATCTTTCCAAAAATAACTTTCAGTAGACAAGAACTCATAAAACAGTTTTGAAAGTTGGGAGTTGTGATAATTACGGGAATTTGTGCCTTTATGCAGCGCATGCTATTGTAAAGACAGTAAATGTATCCCCAACAGCCTCATTTTCATTCATGTAAAATTCAATATGACGTCTAACCTGACTAAAGTCTGCCTGTATTTAAATGCTTTACAGACAGAAAGAAGCAGGCAGAATCATGTATTGAGATTGTATATTACATTGATGCATTTGGCAGAAGCTTTTATTCCAAATAAACTTACTGTACATTTCATTTGGAATTGAACCCATGAACTTTTTACAGCTACAGGAAGGCTGTATCAAAATCAGTGCTGATTAATACAGAAATGTTGACCGGCTGATGTGGTGTTTAGCCATCTCAATGAAAACTGGTGTTTTTAAATCTGTACATGATCATTGGGATATTTGCTGCCAGACATTTAAGAAACTAACTGGTTTTATTTCTTTTCCTGAAGGAGACCGATATTATGGCTTCATCCTTTGCACTTTTCTTAATTTCAGCTCAATGCTGTTTGGCAGACCGTACTTGATCAGCTCCTGTTTTATCTGAAACAAAGATGGACAAACAGATCCAACTTTCCATTAGTCGTCCTCCAATAGCAATGTGGACTGAATGTATAAATAGCTGTATGTGTTACTTACTTGCTGTAAAACTATATTGGTGTTTGTACTGTTTGTTAGGTCTATTAATGATTTAAGTCTCACTTGAAATCCAATGACTAAAGGGAAAACACATACACACACAAAATCTCAGCATTTGTTGAATTACTTAAAAAAAATGTATGTGGATATATGAAATCAACTGGAAACGTTGACTGGCACCATTAGTTGAAGGTACCATTCGTTCAAAAGCCTTTTAGTATAACTCTACAAATGTCCAACTTCAGGTCAAAGTACACGTGTCTTTTTTGCAGTGAAAGCTTTAATGATTTTTAAAGTAAACATAAGAAGAACTTGTATATTGTTAATTACATTTCAAGATGAACATTTATTGGACTGAAGCAACTTAGGTTTAATTGATTATCCATACATAATTATTTAGAAAAAGCATGTTCAAATGTGTGCAGCAAGTATGATCATCAGGTTTTTGAGGAATGTTTATTTGTTTTCTATATCTCTCAATTACCAACGTATTGCATTGCATTTTTATGTTTTGCTCCCCACAATAAAAACTAAACTAAGCATTTAAATATCTTACTAAGACATATTATTGGGAGATTTAGAGTGATATTTGTATTAATTTTATGTAAGTATCTGCTACACAGTTATAAAGATCTCATTGGTTTACATTGGAAGCTATCAGAATTCTTATTTTTGGCCATATAAATATAAGCATCTGCACCAAATTGCATATACTCTGTTTGGTGTTTTTACCTCAAGTATGATCATACTATATATCATACTATATAAGCCATTAAAGCCTGATGCATCAAATATGATATAAACATGTATCATATGTTTATATTTTTAGATTTTGTCTAATAAACTGTTGTATTTCAAAAACTAGATTTTTTTTCTGTCTATTATTTCATGTCGGGATTTAAAGTGTTAATAAGTGTGTCTTCAGTCAGTCACATTGTTACCTGTGGAGTTTGTGGTGGCTGATGTGGTGGTTTCTGAAAGGATGAACACAAATACAAACACCATTAAACACCTCATGAACTCGAGAAGTCCTGTGTTTTCTCTTTTTATGTTGTTGTTGTTTTTTTTATTCATTCATTTATTTTTTGTTTTGTTTTTAGATAGGCACAATGCATGTTAATGAACATTTGTATAAAATACAGAATGTAAACAAGCCGGATTATAGCAACGTTGCTCATTTACATCCCCAGTCCCTCCCTAGGCAGGTGCACACAAAAACACATACTCAAATATACATACAAATGTCTCAGGAAACAAAATACCCCAAACAAAAACATTATTTAAAATTTTAAATAAAATGGTTACACAATTTGACTTGTCATGAGCCACTTTCTAAGGTGATTTTTGAAAGTATGATAAGTGGAATATTGTCTTAATGACTGCGGCAGACTGTTCCAATACTTACAACATATTACAGATAATACTTTCTGACCAAAAGATGTTTGTCTGCATGGCACCTCACAATCTTCTCTAATGATAGACCTCGTACCAATACCACAATCTGTTCTCTGTTTTATAAATTCACTTAACGGAAGTGGGGCAAGACCACGATGTACCTAATAAATAAAACCGGCGTATTTGAAATGTTTACAATTTTTTTTTCAAAACTCAATAAATTGTGTGTTTTTAGAATGTTACAATAATGAAATGAAAAGGGTTTATTATCTAGCACTTCTATTGCTTTCTTACAGTGATTCTATTGACTTAAGGGTCGACCCACCAATAAATGACCAACTATTAAAACAATACACAGTGTGTGAAAAAAATCATAGATTATAGATACTGCCTAGCATCACCAACTGTCAAAAAATGTCTTAAAAACTTTTCAAATTAAATTTTACAATATTCAACAGCTTCTTTACTTGATTTTTAAAAGACAGTGTAGAATCCAAGGTTACCCCAAGATATGTAAACTATTTAATGATCTCAAGCTCCTCCCCTCTGAGGAATACCTTTGAATTTATCATCTCTACGGTTTGTTTTGCAACTCAATAAATTGTGTGTTTTTAGAATGTTACAATAATGAAATGAAAAGGGTTTATTATCTAGCACTTCTATTGCTTTCTTACAGTGATTCTATTGACTTAAGGGTCGACCCACCAATAAATGACCAACTATTAAAACAATACACAGTGTGTGAAAAAAATCATAGATTATAGATACTGCCTAGCATCACCAACTGTCAAAAAATGTCTTAAAAACTTTTCAAATTAAATTTTACAATATTCAACAGCTTCTTTACTTGATTTTTAAAAGACAGTGTAGAATCCAAGGTTACCCCAAGATATGTAAACTATTTAATGATCTCAAGCTCCTCCCCTCTGAGGAATACCTTTGAATTTATCATCTCTACGGTTTGTTTTGCAAACATCATGCACAGTTTTTTTTTTTTTTTAATAGTAAACCTGATGAGCCAATCCTGAACATTGGTCATATAAGAAGTCAAGGTAATCGACACTTCCTCCCAATTATTTGCATGGGTAAAAATGACTACATACATACTGCACATCTGAACATTTACATCTTTACATAATCCAGGTAAATCATTAATAGGCCTATACAGTGAAAATAAAATAGGTCCTTAGTGTTGATGTGTTTCCTAGTGAAACGAGAACTAAAACACTTCTGCAAAGTACATAAAAACTTTCATCAATCACAGCACTATTAGCTATTGAGACTGGTTGCACCTTGCAAGTGTGGTGGTTTCTGAAAGAATGAATAACAATACAAATACTATTAATTAAACTCACTTGACAAGCACTGTTTTTGTCCCTGTTAATGTATTTTCAGTTGGGAGGGACATGTTGAAGAGCTTGTCACTTCTTAAAAAAGCATAGTCTTTGAAGCATGTCCCTTACCAAAAATAAGTATACTTCAAGTTTATTTTATTAAGTATACTTAAAGTTCAAGTATATTTTAAGTATACTTCATGTAGTAAGTATACAAATATCAGTGTACTAGTAGTATACTTGTAAGTGTATTATTTCAATACTCCTTGTGACTAAATTGACCCACTTTCTAGTATATAAAAGTATACTTTAAATATAACAGTAGTAGACTTTGAGTACACAACTAGATTACATCTATGTTTTTAGTTTGTACTGCAACTATTCTAAAAGTGAACTTATAGGTATACTGATGGTTTACTAATTAAATACTTGTAGCATTTTTAGTACACCTTGAAGTATAGTCTCAGTAAACTACTAGTTTAGTAGTTTTATACTGCAAGTATACTCGTAAGTTTTCTTTAAGTGAACTTTACATCATACTTTAAGTATACTACTTTGTCCCTATTTAGGTATTAATTTGTATATATTTTGTTATATAAATATCTGAACATACAAAACATCAAAAGAAAGAACAGGGTATCTGCTTGTAAACAAAAACATTTTATTCTAGCTTCATGCATTCTTTTTTATAAACACATGAAAGATAAAGAAATAAACAAACAACATTTTGAACAAAAAGCTGAAAAAAAGACTATGAATTGGATTCAGAGTGATAATCAAAACATAGATGGAGTCGATCAACACCCCAAAGCTTGACAGTCATTACCTTTTCATGGGTCGACATTTTATTCCATAACATTACACAGTTTTGATGCTGTTTTATGTCTGATGATCGTGTTAGATTACATGTGGAAGCATCTGTTGTTTTGGTTTCTTCTTCGCTTGTGTTTGTTTTGGAAATTCTGTAAAGAATATGTGTAATAGCGCCCCCTACCGTATAACAATGAAAACATGGATTCCCGGTCCACAAGTACAGCTCAAATATATTTAGAATTTTTCTAAGTATAAGTCAAGTATACTTAAATGTCATTTTAAGTATATTTCTGAGAAATAAATAAAGCACATTTCTGAGAAGTGCATAAAAAGTAGACTGAAAGTATACCTTCCTATTTTTAGTTTAAAATAAGTATTTTTCGTAAGGGGTATTCACCCATGATTTGCTTCTAATTCTAATCTCACCCAGGCCGCAACCTGTTTGCTCTCCTGCCCTCAGGCAGACGTAGCAGATCTCTGTGCATTAGAACATCTAGGCATAAAAAACAGTTTTCAAAAAAAGCTCATTCTGATTCTGATTCTATAGCACATTTGATAGACGGGGTGAGCCATCAAAGGCTTTTGTCTTTTTTTCCTTGCAAGAGAAAGACTGCAATTTTAATGTTTGCATTTGTAATTTGGCTTAACTTTTAGGACTGAACTACTATACAGATGAGCTCAAAGCTGACTGACATGTACTAAAAGCCATATAATAGGCCTATTCACTTGGATTTGCTTAATGACATTTTGAAAAAAAATTTAAACATCACATAGGGTTATGTAAAACTGATTAAAACATTGGCTTGTATAAAAAAAAACTAATTGTTTATATATATATATATATATATATATATATACTTCCAGCAATGCTCCAGTCACAGTCCAGTGTTGTCAACCGCCAACCGACGCACTCGCCCGACGCCTCTACTTCACTTTGTCAGGCAGGTCCTATTTAAGAGATTTCTTGATTGCGAACAGGTGTGGCAGTAATCAGGCCTGGGTGTGGCTAGAGAAATTGAACTCAGGTGTGATAAACCGCAGTTTTAAGAGGGGGGCAAACACTTCTTCACACAGGGCCATGTATTTTTGGATTTTGTTTTCCCTTAATAATAAAAACCTTCATTTAAAAACTGCATGTTGTGTTCACTTGTGTTATCTTTGCTAATATTTAAATTTGTTTGATGATCTGAAACATTAAAGTGTGACAAACATGCAAAAAAATAAGAAATCAGGAAGGGGGCCAACACTTTTTCACACCATTGTATATCTAGAAAGCGTTTACCTTTAGAGATGTTGTGTTGTCCACTGTCCACCCTGAAAGCCCATCGGCCTGTATCGTTGACATTACTGGAGTTCCTGAGGTTTGAAATGAAGCTCCCATTGTTTGATCCAGGAATCACAAAGTAGTCTGTGGAGTTTACTGTGTCATAACCAGCCTGTAACAAATATATAAAAGCAAATTTAACAGTAAACATTCATATACTGTTCTATGGTACTGAATACTAACATTTTGTTCCTAAGACAGAAACAAGTATATTTTACCTGCACTTGATGTTCTGTTACAGCAATGTCACCATAATTAATCAGAATAAATGAAAAATTAACATCTGAAATTAAAACCACTTGAAAAGATGTTTCCTGAAAATATTGAGAAAAAAGATAACCTCTTAGTGAATGAAGTGAAAACAGTATATCAAACAGTAAAACAGTATATCATACTTACTGTACTGCTTAAGCTGTAGTAAGCGACTTTTCCCCAAGTTGCTACAAAGACCCAAGAAGCGTTGAAAGTCAGATTTGGGAAATGTGTGTTTATATCCTGAGAAGCGCGTGTAAGTACACTTCCATTAGTGTACTGCTGGTATGAAATGACACCTCCCATACGGTTGTTAAGGTTTGTCCAGAGACCAGCAATTATATCTTGGCTTCTATTAGCAGGAAATGAGTAAGGAGTATATAGTGATGAAGGCTTGTTAAATGTGAGATGTCCATTGTTATTAACCTGCAATAAGAGACATCAGTCAAAATTACAGGTTTGACTGATCACAGATCCTCCACTCACATTTAGACTTAGAATTAAGATGGAGTCAAATTCTTACATAAATCTGCTGGTATGTGCGGCCAAAGAACAGAAATGGACTCAACAGATGAATAACAGACGAACTTCCATCATCATCAACAGGATTGCTTTTGTCTCCTGCTGCTGAGCCAAATGGGTAGAATATTTCTGGTGCTGCCAAGAGAATAATCAAAAAAAAAAAAAAAAACAGACTGATGTTTACATGTCAAGAAATGCGTCACAATTATGCGTCAAAAAAGACCAAAGAATACAGTAATAATGTGTGACAAAAAGCTCTTGAGCTGCACAAGTCAGGAAATGGCTGTAAAAAAATAACTAACTGCTGAAAATTGACATTTTTTTCTATCGGGGCAATAATTAAGAAGCTTAAATCAACTGCAGATGGTAACAATCATCCTGGAGAAAGATATGTATCTATACAGGCAACACAAAAAGTGAGGAGGACGGAGAAAGGAGATCAGGTGGTGAAATGCAGATCAGAAAGTCTCCAAAACTGCAATCAGACGCCACCTACTGTACATAACATGAACTTTGTAATTGTGTGTTTCTGACATAAATGCATTGTTAATTCAATATTACCGGTCCATGGATTTGCAGTCACCTTTAGAATGGCTGTTAAAGAAAAGAGCAAGAGATTAGAAAACCCTTTTTTTTTTCCATCACAGCATTATTACCTGTTGAGACTGTGGTGGTTGAAAATGTGGGGTTTACTGAAAGAATGAACACAAACACAAACACCATTAAATACTTTTTCTTACAGGTTTCTTATTCTGTGTTTACATATTTTCTACTGAAAAGGGAAATTAGGGCAGGACATACTGAGGAAACCAATTCAATCCAAATATCAAAAATATTTTTGATCCTTTTTCTGGGAAGATAAAGAGTGTCATTTTGAATGTGCATATCTGCTAAAAGTTTATTTAGTGTTTACTTTTAGGAGTGCACTAGATGAGCTCAAGCTGATACTGTGATACTCACTCACTTGGATTTGTTAAATGACATGTTTTAAACTAATTATGCAAATTCATTATATGGGGTCATGTAATACTTATATTTATCAACACATTGGCTTGTAAAACAAAACCTATTTATTTAATCTACAACCCCAATTCCAGAAAACTCGGGACGTTTTGTAAAATGCAATAAAATCAAGAATCTGTGATTTGTTCATTATCTTTAACTTTTATTTTATTGACAAAAGTACTAAGAAAATATTTTCAAAGTTTTCACTGACCAACTTAAATGTATTTTGTAAATATAAACAAATTTTGATTTTCATGGTTGCAACCCCAAAAAAGTTGAGACAGAGGCAAAATAAAAGTGAAAGCAGCTGAATTGGTAATAGGTGAGGGTATCGTGTTTGGGTATAAGAGGAGCATCTCAGTCTTTTCAAGCAAAGCTGAATCATGGCTCATCACTTTTCATTAGATAACTGTCAAACAAATCAAAATCACTTTTCTCATTGCAAGATTGCAAAGAACTTAGTTTTTACCAACTACCATGCATAATATTGTGTAAAGATTCAAGTAACCCAGATAAATCTCAATCTGTGTAAGGCAAGGCAGGAAACCTCAGTTGAACATGACCTTTGAGCCCTCAGATGGCACTGCATGAAACCATTGCATCGTGCCACGTAAACATAAAACCATGTCTGCATTTGTGATGATCGGAGAAATGACAAACAACAAGCACTACTCTGGACATGTGGGGGGGGCGTGTTTAAACGAGGCGTTTTAGGAGGGCGTGGACGAGTCTTAACTTTTAAACAGAATATCTCTTTGGGTTTGAGACTTTAGTCTTTGCAACTTTAGGGATCTTATCTATTCACGAACAGCTTGTAACACTCCAAAGAGAAAGGAAAACTTGAAATCGCATCATATGACCCCTTTAAATATAGCCACATGAGCTCAGAAAACCGCTGTCACTTAACACAGTCTGCCTCTGCATCAGTTAATGCAAATTGAATCTCTGTTACTCCAGGAGAAAGCTATTCATCAATTCTCTGCAGTGATGCCGGCGGCTTCACTGGGCCTGAGCTCATCTCAGATAGTCAAAAAGACAGTGGAAATGTGTGCTGTGGTCAAATGAGTCCACATTTCAGCTTGTTTCTGGGAAAAATGGACATCAAGTTCTCAATCCCAAAGACCAAAGCGACCATCCAGACTTTCATCAGCAACAGATGCAAAAGCAAACGTCTGTCATAGTATGGAGGTGCAGCAGAGCACACGGCATGGGTGACTGGTATATGTGTGACGGTACCATTGACATGGAGGCATATATTGGAATTATACAGAGACCTATACTGCCATCAAGATGAGGTCATTCATCGGGAAGTCCATAGTTATTAGATCAAGACAATGCCATGTCTCATTCTGCATGTGCTACAACTGTGTGGTTTCATAGACACAGAGTGAATGTGCTAGACTAGCATACCTGCAGTCCTGATCTGTCTCCTATTAAAAATGTATGAGGGTTGTATTTAAGGAAAGGTAAAAACTTTACCTTCAGAGATGTGTTGTCCACCATCCACCCTGAAGGCCCATCGTCCTGAAACACTGACATTGCTGGAGTTCCTGAGGTTTGAGATGGAGCTGCCACTGTTTGATCCATTGATCACTATGTAGTGTGTGGAGTTTATCGTGTCATAACCAGCCTGTACAACCAAGAAAAAATTACACACATACACACATATACAATATATATACTGTATATATATATATATACTGTATATATAATACACACAGAAAGTAAGATTCTTTTACCTGCACCCGATGTGTTGTTACAGCAATTTCACCATAATTCATCATAATAAATGAAAAATTACTGTCTGAAATTAAAACCACTTGAAAGGATGTTTCCTGAAAAGATTGGAGAAAAAGATAATTCCCTTAAACTGAGCATTTATTCAGTGTTGAATGTTTTGTGTATTTTGCTCTATTTTACAAAATTACATTTTTATTTTATTAAATATTGTTGTTGGGTCATTCAAATCAACCAAATTTCAGAAGCTTTCTCGGCTCAAATTTTTGATTTTGTTAATAGTTTTTATGATGAAAGACAAACAAAAAATAGTGACCAAAGGCAAAATATTAAAATTCATGGATGAGTGTTTACTGAGCAATAGACTTTTGTAGAGGGGAGTCAAAATGACAATATTCACCTGAGATTTGGAGCCAAATTACAGGGAGGCAATAATGACAGAGACTGGTAGTTTGATTAGTAAAAACTGCTAACCTTAGCAAACCTTGTTGCATTAAAGGTGACATGTTTTATGGCCAGTTTTAAAGGTGCCAGGTTTTAAGTGCTATAATCAGGTCCCCGGTGCATCTACCAACCAAGGAAACGTGAAAAAGATTAACCCAGTAACTTTGTTTTGGTAAGCCTTTTTCTGAAAGCGTCTGAAAAAACGAGCGCGATTGATTTCGCTCCCCTAGTGACGTCACAAAGGGATCTCATTATAATATTACCGTCCCTTAATCTGTATGTTTCCACCCAAGGCACCGTCATCCCCTGCCAACAACGCTGTAGAAAGATTCGTGGACACTCTGACGTAGATCGAATGCTTGTCTTGTATTTAAAGGAGCCGCAAAGGAAGCAAGTCAAGCATGTTTATCTTGTGCAGACTGACCACAAGTAGGTTATAAGTTAACCTCATGAAATATTTTAAATGTGAAAGTAAGAAATTGATCGATGGAAAGAACTTAACAATTATAGCTACGTGTTTGCTAACGAAATAAACCAATAAAAACCATTTGTGTGGTGTGTTTTTGTGTTCATGGTTAAGTGCTAGCCTAATTTCAACATGCAGTTTATAGGAGATGTTTACTAGCCTTGGTCTTTAATTAACATTAACATTAATTTGTGCGCAGCCTACATTACAAACTGTCCTGGCTGAAGTGTAGCCTAAATGTAATTGGTCAAATCAGTTTTGTTTTGAGCAAATTAATTGCATTCCCACTGAAAAACAAGCATTCTAGCATGAAAATGCTTGGGAACTAATGTGGTCAGAACCAAAGTTTACAGGACTGCGTTCTCTGGAATCCTCTCAAACGGAGGACTTCTACACTCCGATCGGTTGCCGCCGAACCGCATCATAGCTCATTACCATAAAGTTGACCTGACTTCAACTCTCCTCGACGCCCACACCGTCCAAGATGCACCGCGCCTCTGCTCGCTGCCGGCTCACATTGAAAATGAATGACTTTCGGCCACTTTGATGCTCTCGCCGGCGGCGGTGTGAACGTACAGTTAACCACCAGATCCTCCTGTCAACCCTCATGGCAAAGAGCATCTCAGGAACCGCACTCCAGTGGTTTGAGTCTTAGGGGAAGGGTGAGGTGTCCATGTCGTAACATCTAGCTACTGGGGTGCCTCAGGGCTCAGTTCTTGGACCACCTCTCTTCTCTGTCTATATGGCATCTCTAGGTTCTGTCATTTAGATACATGACTTTTCAATCACTGCTATGCTGATGACACTCAACTCTACCTCTCATTCCATCCTGATGATCTGACGATAGCTGCTCGCATCTCAGCATATCTAACAGACATTTCTTGCTGGATGAAGAACCTCATCACCTTCAACTCAACCTTGACAAGACAAAACTGCTTGAGGTTTCAACCAACCAAACACTTCATCACATTTTCTCGTTCCAGCTAGGTGCATCACCCATAATACCTTCCAGGACAGCCAGGAACCTTGGAGTTGTAATTGATGATCAGCTGAATTTCACAGACCACATTGTTAGAACTGCCCAGTCCTGCAGATTCGCGTTGTACAACATTAAGAAGACCAGGCCCTTTCTATTGGAACATGCTACACAACTCAAGCTCTTGTTCTTCAAGCTCTTGCTCTGTCCAGGCTGGACTATTGCAACACTCTCTTGGCAGGTCTTCCAGTCAGGTCTATCAAACCTCTGCAGCTAATCCAGAATGTGGCAGCAAGAGTAGTCTTTAACGAGCTGAAAAGAGCGCATGTCACACCTCTGTTCATCTATTTGCACTGGCTACCAATAGCCACACGCATAAATTTCAAGACATTGATGTTTGCCTTCAAAACAACCACTGGCTCTGCACCCCTTCACCTAAATTCAATACTTCAGACTTATGTGTCCTCCAGAAGCTTTCATTCTGCAAGTGAATTGTGCATTATAGTGCCATCCCAAAGAGGCACAAACTCACTTTCACAGACTTTTACCTTCACTGTTCCCTTCTGGTGGAATGACCTGCCCAACTCGATCCGAGCAGCCAAGTCTTTAACTATCTTCAGGAAATGGCTAAAGACACATCTCTTCCATCTACACCTGACCCTCCAACACAAAAACTCTCTATTCTATTTATTTTCCATATACCGGTTTTCATTTATTATATATGAAAAAAACGTGATCCTCTACCAATCTCTATTCTATTTCTATTCTATCTACTTATATTTTTATTTATTAAATAACAAATATTGACCCTCTAACAATAGTGTTCTCTAATCTTTTTCTATTCTATCCACGTTTCCTTGTTTTTTTATTATCAAATGATAACTTGACCCTCTAATACTAGCTCTCTCTATTCTATTTCTTTTCCATATACTTGTTTTCTTTTATTTATTAAAAATGAAAAAAAACCGGATCCTCTAACACTAACATTATTCTATTTCTATTCTATCTACTTATCTTTTTATTTATTAAATAAAAAAACTTGACCCTCTAACACTAGCATTCTCTATTCTTTTTCTATTCTATTTATTATAAAACTTGATTCTCTAATACTAGCTCTCTCTATTCTATCTACTTTTTGTTCTTATTATATAAATAACCTTGCTGTGTGTACTGTGTTACACTAACCAGGACTTGTCACTGCACTTACATATTATTGCTCTTTTGTTGGTTTAATTGCTTCTATTTTCCTTATTTGTAAGTCGCTTTGGATAAAAGTGTCTGCTAAATGATTACATGTAAATAGCAATGATAACCATTTAAAAAATGGGAAAAAAACATTTTTTTGTGTGTTTTTTCTATCTCTATAACTCAGGTAGCATTAAAGGTAATCTAATATCCGTTTAGATGTTGGTTCTTAATGTCCTTCTTCAATACAATGCAACAATGATTAAAACTAGATTTTTTTTGCCAGGGACTGGGGATGGGGAAATTGATTTATTATCATTAGTTTCTCTGTCATTTTCTCTGCCTGGCTATGAATCATGTAAATTAAGTATTTTTAAATAGAATAGAGTCAAGAATAAAGGGGAAAACAAACTTACTGTGTTGGTTAAACTGTAGTAAGCAACTTTATCCCACGTTGCAACAAAGACCCAAGAAGCGGTGAAGTTCAAATTTGGGAAATGTGTGTTTATATCCTGAGTGGCATGTGTGAGAACATTTCCACTGGTGTACTGACGATATGAAACTACACCTCTTTGACGGTTGTCAAGGTCAGTCCAGAGACCAGCAATTATATCTTGGCTTCCTCTAGCGGGGAATGAGTAGGGAACATATGCTGATGAAGGCTGGTTGAATGTGAGGTGTCCATTATTATTAACCTGAAACATGAGAAATATTGTCAAAATCACTGATCACAGATGAGTTTTTAAGGCATTAACCACTCACATTTAGACTTAGAATGAGGATGGAATCAAATTCTTACATAAATTTGCCAGTAAGTGCGGCCAAAAAACAGAAATGGACTCAAAAGATTAATAACTGGGGAGCTTCCATCATCAACAGCAGCATTTATTGTGTCTCCTGCTGCTGAGCCGAATGGGTAGAATAATGCTGGTGGTGACGAGAGAGTTAACAAAAATACAAAAGATTTGACATTTACATTTCACATTGATTTCCACTCGTTTGTTTATGTCATGTCTCGTGTGATGAATCTGTTTGAGAGTTAGTAGCATTAGTAGCATTCTCCCTGCTTTAAATCAGACACAGAGATAACGCAGTGTAGTAACGGTGCGTTCACGCCATATCGGAATTCCAGTAATTACGAGATTCCAACTTGTAAAAAGCGTTCATGTCCTCATAGAACTCGTAATGACAACTTGTGAACTGGGAGTTTTCGGAAAGCTACAAATACATATATTTAAATTAATGTGTGTGTGAGAGAGATTGCACGTGTTGATTTTCTGTGTCTGTGAGCTTCTATTAACAGTGAAACTGTGAATTTAATTAATCAAAAACAGCGATGTTACCCCTCATAGTGTGCTTCAGGTTCAATGATGGCAGCGTGTCGGTGATTGTTAAATTGACTGGATCTACTGTTTAAACACACACCTTCCAGCCAATCAGAATCGAGTCAAACAGACGGTAATATAACTGAATTAACTCAATCACATTACATAACTAATGTAAAATAAATTAAATAAATATTTCTCCATAACATTTGTCACAGTTATTGACAGTAAATCCATTGCAACGAAGAGGAAGTAACATCAGATTTTTTTCTTAATCACATTTTTTTTTTCAATAAGCCATTACATCCTGTGATGGATTACTGAAAAAGAAAATACATATGACAGGAACTTGGTTCTATGCATCAAGTTATGCCATTTTGATAAAAAAATTATGAGGTCAAAAATAAAATAATACTAATGATGATAATAATAATAATTAAAAAAAAGAAAAGAAACCTATCGAATGAATTGTTCACAACAATAGGCTATCAATTACATGCAAATTCACAGATGAATCCAGGGCCTGCAGATGTAAAATAGTCTTTTGGCTAATTCTGGCACGTTTATGTATTATTGATGTCAAATAAACTTGAAATAAATAAATTTTCATTTCATGCTGACTGTCATAGTAAAATCTAACTGAAGTATATTTCATTCATACTGAATGTTTTTAAGTGATGAGGAACTATAGTGTGTCACTGGGCTATAATTATGGGATGACACATAAATTAACTTCCTGTAGACGTACATGACAGGAAAGACCCGAGAATACAGTAATGATGTGACAAAAGGCTGTAGAGCTGTAAACTATAGAAATAATCTATTTCTCAAATCAGGAAATGGCTATAAAAAAATAACTCAAAATTTAAAATGGTCATTTCTACTATCAGAGCAATACTGCTTAATCAACTAGGTGGTAACAATCACACAAAGTGAGGAGGATGGTTTGAGAAGACATTTGTTCAGTTCACACCAAAGCAGTGCATTCAGGTTGTGAGAAAAATAGATCGTGTTCCAGTTATTAAAAAAAAAAAAAAAAACAGTATTACCGGCTGTTGTTTGTACTCTGGCTGTTAAAAAGAAAGAGAGATGATTAAATTCAGCAGCACACATTTGTATATTTTTATTGCCTTTGACACATTAAGACTGATAATCAAACAGTAAACAAAACCTTACAGAGTGACAGGACTGATATGAACAGCAGCATATGTGGGAAAACCGGAGACAATCTCATGATGATGACGTCAGAGATAAAACCAGGAGTCCTCCTTCTGTAATCAGACATCATTTTTAAAGCATCATGCATTATCATAAACACAGTTTAAACCAATGTCTCTGGAATGTCTCTTACGAAAACCCCTTATTAGAACTCGAGTAACTCAATTAAATCAAAGCCGCTGAAACAAAGAAAAATTCCCACTATCAAATTCCAGGTCTTACTTTATTTCTATGTGATTACCTTAAGATTGACTACAATGAGCATACTGTGTAAATACATGTTACACAGTATGCATGTTAATGTGCATTTCAGTGTATATAGTAACATATGCCATTATAATTAGTGATACATGATATACCAACACGGTTTTAAATTTACTCATTTCCTTTTTATCCTCTTTCAAGCACTTAACTCAAGCTTAAAGTACTCACCCTTTAAAATCAGTTTACAAACAATGAAGTCATGCACATTCTCAATATGCTTTTCATTTATAATAATCAATAGTAAAATTCAGCATTAGTAACTTTTCTGTCACTCACTCGAGTTACTAGTTTACTTTTTTAAGTCTGCTTTTTTGAGTCGTCTATGACCACTTTGTTTACTGCAAACGGATCAGTCCAATTTGCGAATGAATCACTCAGCAGGATTTGTAAACCAAATTTGACAGAATTGTCTCAAAAGAAAAATTAAATCACCTTCGGGTAGGTCCAATTTCTTCAGTTTGAAATAATGATAATTCATATGTTTTTATAAAATTTAGTGGAGTAAAAAGTAAGATATTTTGTTTTGAAAATAAAAGATACCCCATTATAATGTAATGTTTTAGTTCAATTCAATTCAATACACAAGTAAGGCCCTAGAGAATCGGAGCATTACATTAAAGATAATGATTTTACTTACCTCAGACAGCTGCTTCGACGATGCTCTTGAGCCTGCTGTGGGTTAGCAGGAAGTATGCATTGGTTTTTAACCTGGCCCTGCCTTTGCTCAAAGGCAGAACATCCTCTGGAATGAAAGATTTTATTATTTTTTATTTTTTTGAAAACCACCAGTAACTTATAAAATAGAAAACTGTTTCCCTTCAGATCTTACATTTAGATTTTAGATTAGATAACAGGTACACACATTCCTTCAGTGAGCTCAAATAGAACAGCAATGGCAGTGTACAGTCACACATTCATTAGTCAAATAATAATAGGATTTAATGGATTTAATGCCCTTGCTCCTGTAACTCTTCACCAATTAATTTATATCAGATGCCAAAGTAACTACAACACATCTCTGTCTACTGCAAAAATCAGCAAACAGTTAATATACTACAAACTTCAGTGCTCAAAACTGAATTTTCTATTTTTTATCCACTTACCAAGTCAAAAGTTAAGATGCCTAAATATGTCATATGATTGTAATTATATATTTGAGTACATAGTAGTATTTATTAACAACATGTACATACTATAGGATTAAGATTTGGTTTAGGGTTACGTATAACAAAGAAACTAAAATAAGGTGCTACCAAGAAATGTCAGTAGTAATTAGTTAGGGTTAGGTGTCATACCTCATTTTTCAGCTTTGTAAAAACAAATGTTTTCAGAGATGCGGCGATAGGAGCAAAATCTTATCATTTGCATGCGTCATTGATTTGTGGCAGTGACACACATCATGTCACATCACTGAATCATCAACGACTTTAGCTGGAAAAAATGACTCCGTTATTGTCGTCTTGCATTATTGACAAACTATTTTCCTGTTTGACACTGCAAAGCTGCTTTGACACAACCAGTATTGCATAAAGCACTATACAAATAAAGGTGACTTGACATGACTTGACATACTAATAGTAAGCTTGTCACGACACCAAACAGTTATTATTCAAACAATCCTAACCTAACTTTGTCACACATGGCTTTTCCATCTTGGCTTTATTTTTGTTAAATAAACAATGACACGGTGCAATATGTCATGTTTTGTTGTTCATCTGCGGTTTTATTTTCCTACATTTAAGACCTGCCAAGGACCAGATAATTTTTTATGATGCTTTGATACAGAAAACCATAGAATTCAATAGGGCGTCCTAACTTTTTCACATGACTGTATGTATATATATATATATATATATATATATACATAC